ACGATAGCAAGACTAGACTTCCTGGATAAAACCTGCCCGGACCAACTCTATAAAACCACCACTCTCCATTTCGGTGTCTTCTTCAACTATACCGACGCCGATGTGAACCTCACCTTGTACTATAATTGCTCCTCAGATTGGTTAAATTCAATTCCACCGGGCCCTACCTTCAAATATAGTTGTTCCACCAACGGTCTGAATAGCGAATTTTATARGTTGGTAACACCCAATTCCATCCTGCYTGATGCGAGCCAAGCTGCTGAGGAATGCAATGCAAATGTCACGGTTCCGGTTCTTGAGAGCGAAGCTAAGGGAATCGTGGCCACTCTGTCGAATCTGCCGACGATTTTGGAAAAGGGTTTTGAGGTAAGCTACAGTGGGTACAATGATCTGTGTGGGAAATGTGAGGATTCCGGTGGGCAATGCGGGTACAACTCGACTTTGTCGATGCCCATGTGTTTTTGCCCTAACCAGCCTTATTCAAATATGAGGTGCGGAGGTACGTATGAGTATGACCTTCTTTGCCTTTGTTATTGTTGCTTGCTTCGATTATAGTTTATTCGTAGTTGATAACTTACAGTACARATAATGGTTACTTATGGTCCAGTCTACATAAACATCAATACGGACTCAATGCAAAGAAGGGTAAAACTGAATGGAGAACCTACCGTTCTGTTTTGTGTGGCTTTGAGTTGCAGAGTCCAGTCAATCGTGGGTCGTGGCTCTGCATCATTCATGTATGTAAAAGCCTTTTGACTGGTTGCTGAACCGAACCGCGTGGATTACATATTGATACATTCTTGTCTTGCCCAATATCCCGCCTAATCCCCACCAAGACGCCGTTGTCTGACCGCTCCCTATATTCAATGCCAGCCTTGACGCAAGATGTTGCCCAAGACATCCAACATCCAGCTCAACACAACTTTCCTATAATATATAATCCCATTAATCTCATCATCATCATCCCATCCCACCATCATCTCAAGGCTCTTATTGAATCCTAGATTTCTGTTTCTGAATTCCGATAACGCCAACCTCTGCAACAAGAGCTGAGCGTGGGTCATGTCTTTTGCCCGGCTATTTTGTCTAGTTCTTGAGACAATCTCTACAGTCATGCATCACAACTGATTGCCATCTATCCATCCATTCAAACAAAGTGGCTTCCGTGGCTTAAACTTGTCTTGTTTGATTGATTTTCTTCTTAACCAGGAATTAGAAAAAACGGGTTACGTTCTTTCCGTTTTGGGTTGCTAAGCAATAGAAATCAAGTAGCGTTTGCTCCTATTCCGATCTACATCTCTCCCTCCCTCCCTTTCTCTCCCTCTGTGCTCTGGTCTCCAAGTGCTTTGTACGAACCATTGTTTGAATTAATAAAAGAAAACGATAACAAAACAAAAAAGCATTACTCATAAACATCTTCATTATCTTAGTGATAGCGTCATGCGTCCATGAAGCTAAGTGGAGACGGGGTTTCCCCTCTTCAAACTTTCGGTCTCACAAACCACCAAAATAATATCATGTTCCACATTTCTCTTCCAAATATGCCACAAATGCCCCCATAACGTACAAATGATGATGTCATTAGTACGTAATCCACACAAAAGTTGTATAGTCCCTTAAATCTGTTAAGTTGGACATAGAAAGAACAAAACTGAAGCTTAAGCTTCTTCAGTTCTCGCTTGCACAATCAATCTTGTGCTTTACTGTGCTCTATTTTTTAATGTTGCCCAACCTCAATTACCGCCAAGTGGAAATAAACCAATTCGCAAGCCCAAGTCAAACTCCAACCAACCACGAAAGAAAACCGCCCTGAATTCTCCCTCTCATTATCATCTTCTTTTTTTTTTTTTTTTATCTCCTCTGCTCTCCACTCTGTCCTGTTTTCTCCCATCTTTTCCTCCTAAATGGATCAAAACAACTCGTCCTCGGTCAAAACAGTTTTCTCTGTATTGATCAATATCATCTTTATGATGCTCAGCACCTTGGCACAAGGAACTCGATCAGCAGACCCACAGTTCGAAGCTTGTGCGCCTAGAAATTGTGGCAAGGGCCCATATATAAGCTACCCGTTTTGGATTCCTTCTCTCCAGCAATCCTACTGCGGCCTTCCAAGATCTGAGGTCACCTGCCAGAACAGTGAGCCCGTCCTTAAGATGCCAGATGGCGATTACCTCATCCAAGACATCTTCTACTCAAACAATTCATTCTGGGTGGTGGACATCAGGGCATTGAACAACGAATCCTGCCTGGCCCCCCTCCACAATTTTACCCTCCACGGCACTCCCTTTGAATTTGGCGATAATCACTTCAATCTCTTCTTCTACTACAACTGCTCCAATTCCCCTCCTGCAAATCACTTGGTATACCCAGTGACTTGTGCTAGCAATAACACCAGCCATCTCTCCTTCGCAATGTTTGTGTATGATGGGCAGTTTGGCTTGAATCTTTCTTTAGCGACATGCCAGTCAGTTGTTAGAGCACCCATAGACACAACACGTATTCAATTTAAAGAGCAAAATAACTATAGGGAGATTTTGAAGGAAAGATTTCTTTTGCAATGGAAGCCGAGTAATTGCATCAAATGTGAGGGCAGTGGCGGCCGTTGTGGACTCTATAATAAAAAATTCGTATGCTTTTGCCATGATGGACGGCATCGCTTAAGCTGCGGTGATGGTAAGCCAAATGGACATCCATGTGCTCTTCAGATTTCTTCCCTCATTCTTTTCAATAATTATTTACCAATTTAGGCTCGGAGGAAGAACATAGAACAGCATGGTCTCTGTGTTCTCTCTGTCTCTTCTTTACTTTTTCAATTTACTTTCTTTCTATCTTGTAGCTAGGAAAATTGATTGTATTGTGTTGTGACTTGTGGGAATCATCAATTTAGAGTGGTTAGAACTTAGAACTGAYCGCGCTACAGGGCCCTCTTTTATGTAGTTCGCACTTGTCACTGATATTGAAGCTTTCTCATAGTTTGGTTAACGAGTCCCCCTAGCGTATACCTCCTTCTTTTGTCCCCAGATATCTGTTCCATCGGATGAAACTGATGTCTTCCTTATGGAATCATTATGACTTCTTGCTCTTGTGTCATCTGAGAAGCCAGGAATGAAATTGACCCAAATCCAACTGTTTGATATACAGATATTTTTCTCGTAGGATCATATCCCACAAAACATTCTTAGATGTGATTCCTTTTCTTTCCCTTCCTTTCCTTTTCAGCATGTAATTTGAGTAACAGTTGCCCGAACACGATTTAACTGGTTTGAGGCTTGCATTGAACTTTTGGAACTAGAGGTAGGCTACAAAAGAAGACACAAGAAAATTGCAAGCCTAACAATAACAGACAATTTCAAGAGTTGAGAAAAGAACTGAAGGGAGATAGAGATACATTATCCATCTGAACCCCAAAACCTGATTGTGCTTCTAGAGTACTTGGTGATGGGTTATACTGTTGGCACCCAGGATCTGCATTTGCTTCAAACGTGTTCGAGTCCTTCCCTATTCTTTCCTTGATCGCTTATTGTGGAAACAACATCTTTGGCTTTTAGGTACGAGTACCTTTGTTTCATTATGAAAAATTACGTAGGAACTCCATGAATTAGTGATGTCTGATTAAGAATGGCAAGAGTGCGGGTTCAGGGAAGGCTTTGTAAATTCCAAACTCTACCCGTTTAACTAAACCTCCTAATTCATACCCTCCCTAAAACCCCTAGATTGGATTCTGATAATAAATTCAAACTCTCCCCCACACTTGAAAATGCAAAACCCTCTCCAACCGTACCCTCCCCTCCCACATTCAAGGGTAGGACAGGTTGGGTTTAGAACTCACATCTAATTTTTTATTACATATTTCTTGTTATATATAAGTAATAAATAAGTAAAATAACATGAACAAAAAGCAAAATTTCTAATTCTTTGATTAAGACATAAATTTCAAATATCCTTCACATAAAATTCAAAATATTATTAAATTCAACACATAAAGTCAGGAAAGGTCAGGTTTAGCCTAATACTATACCCTATTTGTACAAGAATTGTAAAATCTCAAAACCTATCCCTGCCCCAAAACCCGTCATTCAAGCAAAAAAAATCCAGCACGGTTGAGGCCTGTATCCACTCGGTAGGATAGAAATTGTCATCCCTATGTCTGAAAATCAACAAGAGACTTCTCATCTTTGCTTTCATGTATCCGTATTTTGATATGCTCCTTCTTCTACTCCATCTAAGAACACGCTCCAATTATCTCACACTTTTATAATTTTTGATGTTATTTTGTTTGTAGTGCCCATTGTTTTTTTTGGGTAAATTACTGTACCCTTCCTCGCTTCTTGTATTTCTTTTCCTTGGCTTCATCACTTCTGCAGAGGACTATGACCGAAAGTCTGGTCTCTGCCAATCCATATCCTCGCGATTTTCCTATATACTTTCTTCTACGCTACCTTGTCTTTTTCTTCGTGTTAATTAGAGGATGCTACTGTTTCTGGTCATTGTGTTCATACATACCACTCTAGTTTTCGTTTTCTGGGATCAATGTAGAAACAGGAGGGGTTGCTTCCATGATAAACGAGTGCTGCGTATTTTTCATCGTTTGGTCATCATATTGACGTGCATTTCAAATAAGCGGAAAGTCAAGACTTGGCTTCTCAACTTTATTTGATTTGGGATGATTATGGAAGGTCAGTCTTTGCTAGTCATACAAGTGGGAACAGATATATAATATTCTTGTCGAAGTCAACTGACGTGTCAACGGGGCCCGTATTAACTCATCTTTCTTGTTTTCTCTTTTATCTGTCTGCTTTCAGAGTAGAAATATAAAAGAGAGAAGATTCCGGTTGGAGTTAGGGTGAGTGTTGATTAGTTAATTATAAGGTCAGATCGATCAGATGGGTTCCCATGGCTCTGTTGTTATTGTTGTTGCAGTCATCTTCCTTCTTCTGTTGCACCACCTTGCTTTGCAGTTGGAGTCAGCCGAAGATGACTTGTTCTTCGCAGCACGATGCCATCCGTTTGAGTGTGGGAATCTCAACAACATCAGCTACCCATTTTCCAATTCACAACATCCCGAATGCGGGTTAAGCGTTATCCATTGCGATGAATATAACAGACCTATTATTTATTTTGATTTTGGTGGTGAAAGCAAACGCTACGAAGTTGAAGCAATCCATGACAATAATAACACTATTGTGATCCGTCACTTCCCAGATGGTGATCAAGACGGAGGAGTGGAGGAGGCAGCCTGTCACTTACACAGTTTCACGACACCCACTTTCTCCAATTTGGTCACTACTCTCTTGTTTCAAGTAATTAGCCCTAACCTTACCTTGGTCRCGTGTTCTTACAACACCGAGTATTCCCCACCAAAAGAAATCGTGAATCAATTTTTCGAGTACACCTATTATTGTCCGGGGCGGGGGGGCCTTGCATGCCTTCTACCAGAACGGCGATCCAAAGCAGGGTCGATCACTCTCCTATGTTTCAAAGGATTTTTGTTCAGTCTTCCAAATTCCCGTGCACAATCTGTTGCCGCCTCTATCTGATTCTGTCAACAAAACGGATGATCACCTCTCGCCTCTGTTGCACGCCGGCTTCTCTCTTAAATGGAGCTTTCCCCCGGAATGCCACGAGTGCGATGTCAAAGGAGTCCCTTGTCGACGGGATCCACTGACTTCAACTGTCGAGTGTGCAAATATAAACAACGGTATGAAAATACAGGCCCCAAGCCCAAAGAGACGGTATACAATTGAATACAACTTAATTTATCCTTTAATTTTTTTTTTTATTGTTAAATAAATGCGTTCATCATTGTTTCGGTCCTTGTTTATGTCTGTGGCAATTGCAAATTTGTTACTTCCAATTCACAATCCAGGTTCTTCCTTTCCGGGTGGCTTCTGTCTCCAGTCTGCCCCAGTTTGCTTATTTGTAGAATTGATCTAACTGGCAGGAATTTTCTTTTTTTTTTCCCTTCTTTTTTCTTTTATTGGGTCTTGGCATACTTACATCCTTGCTTAAAATGTGGATTCCCAGTTTGAAGCAAATTTACCTTTACATTTTTTCAATTAAACCTGTTGTATGTATGATTATTTTGCAGGCGGAAACAATTGGAAGGTACCGGTAATAGCAACTAGCGCAGCACTTGCTTTCCTTGGAGCAGGCTTATTAATTCTCTTCCTCATCTACCGTGGGCACAAAAAACGCAAATTTGCTGCAATCAGAAGCAAAGACATCTCCGTTTCTTCAACCCCCTTCTCCAGGAACTTCTCTTCTGATCCTTCCTCGACGACGACGGACCTCGAGAAAGCTAGCACTTACTTTGGAGTCCCCATTTTCAGTTATGATGAACTTGAAGAAGCCACTAACAATTTTGATTCCACCAAAGAACTCGGCGACGGTGGATTTGGCACTGTATATCATGGTAACCAACTATTCTTTGATTCTTCAACATCTCTGCTCCTGTGCCATTCTTTCATCCCCAAGTAGAAAATAACTGAAATTAATGGATCCTGTTGTTCCCATTTTCTCAACCAGGAAAACTCCGTGATGGGCGTGTTGTTGCAGTCAAGCGCCTATACGAGAACAATTACAAACGTGTTGAGCAATTCATGAATGAAGTGGAGATCCTCACCCGCTTACGCCACCAGAACCTTGTGACCCTTTACGGCTGTACCTCACGTCGCAGCCGCGAACTCATCCTTGTTTACGAATACATCCCGAATGGCACCGTTGCCGATCACCTTCACGGCGATAGAGCGAAGGCCGGTGGTCTCCCATGGTCTATTCGGATGAGCATTTCCATAGAGACCGCCAGTGCTCTTTCGTACCTCCACGCTTCCGACATCATACACCGTGACGTGAAAACAAACAATATTCTCCTCGACAACAATTTTGGAGTTAAAGTTGCAGATTTTGGACTGTCTCGCCTCTTCCCAACAGATGTAACCCACGTCTCCACTGCACCACAAGGGACTCCCGGTTATGTTGACCCTGAATATCACCAATGTTACCAGCTCACAGATAAGAGCGATGTCTATAGCTTCGGTGTAGTCTTGATCGAGCTTATATCATCGAAGCCAGCGGTAGATATCACAAGGCATCGACACGAGATTAATTTGGCGAACATGGCAATCAACAGGATCCAGAACAGGACATTGCATGAGCTGATTGACCCCTGTCTGAATTTCGAATCAGATCACAGAGTAAGAAGAATGGCAACGGCAGTGGCAGAGTTGGCATTCCGTTGCCTGCAATTTGAAAGAGAAATGAGGCCTACAATGGATGAAGTATTGGAGGTTTTGAATGGAATTCAGAGCGAGGAGGATGGCATGGTGGCGAAGACAGAGGAGGCGGACATTCCCTCAGATGATGTGGGTCTGTTGAAAAAGGGACTCTCCCCGCCATCACCAGATAGTGTTGTGAACTATGTTTGGGAGAGCCAGAAGACTACACCTAATACCAGTAGTTAAACTTTTCTCTTGTCAATTCTATTCCTTTTTCCAAGTAGATGGTATTAGATTTTGTTCAGCGTTACCTGGTAGTCTGATGGCTATTAGTGATGTTACAACTTCATTTATTTTCTGTTGTGTTTATTTCATAAAAAGAAATTGGGATTATATGAAAGGAAGGGAGAGATTATTAACTATTAGATATTAACTTACATGGTTGGAGGAGGGAGATGTACATAGTGATATGAAAAGGAGTATTTATTATATTTTGTTCCCTTTGGGTTTATCACTGCTCCAATGCTTTTTGCCCTCATCTTTAAGCTTCTGCTTGATTATATTTTTTCTTCCTTTTGAATAATCAATTATCATTGTTTCAATTTGAAAGGGTGAATGCCCAGATGAAGATTACTTTTGGTGCTAAGACAATTGTCCGAGAGATCACATTATCCTAAACAAATTGTGTTGTTCTAACCAAATAAAGGGATGGTTTGGGTTGGGCAATCCAGCAGGTTGCCCATCAACGTGTTACACTTTGGAATAGTCTCAAGTCCAATTGTTTCATGTTAGCCATGTTGGGTAGCTAATAATTAAAATTTTTCCACTTAATATATATATATATATATAATACCGTTATAACAAGGTTAATATCCAAACTTCAATCAACATAGGGAGCTAGTTTTGCCACGTAGTGTCATATGTGGCAAAGCACTGAACTCGTTTGATCGGTTTGAGCCAGTAAGAGCATTGAAGATGAAAAAAGCTTTGGGTGTGATGTCGGCATCATTACCTACCTTACCTACAAGTAAACCACGGAAATTGCAGGAGGCCAATGAACCATCCAGATTTTAGGGGTTGTTCGCCAAATATGTCATCGTTGTTGACAACCGAAATCATTTAAAACACGCAAAAGACATATTAATTCTTCTCCCATTTTAGACCATTAGAATAGAAGAATGTTAGAATGGAATATTTCTTACTTTGAAAAGTCACAATATTAGGTAGGCTTTCCGAAAGAATAAACGCGTTTTCCCGTCCCATTTTAGACGGCATTTGGAAATCTGCAGCATTTTTATTTTTAAGTCACAAAGGGACAAAAAAACAGAAAATCTGCAACTTTTCCACTTTTTTTATTTTTATTTTAAAATGCAACTTCTCCACTTATATGTATTTCAGAAACTATTTTAACTTGTTAAAATGTTATCCCTTATTACCCCCGTTGCGTTGCACTTGCACCACCTCCGAAACACTTCCTTATGAAACTTTTCCATTTATGCATGTCCCAAGACTTGGTTTATTTTCCATGCAAATTTTATTTGCACTGGTTTAAACGCATGCGAATTCTGGTTTACTATTGCTTTAAATTTGGCTTTCTCTTATTTGTTTGTGAGCAGGGCTGGAATATTTTTCCAGTCGGTCATTCAATAACTAATATAAAATATATTTTCATATATTAATTATTTGACTAAAAAAGTAATAAAAATAATTTAAAATCTTTAAAATACAAATATAAGAAAAACGAAGTTGATACATTTAATCACACTACTTCAAAAAATAATAAATGTCACTTTACAATTCTCTTGAACGACTGTATTTCTTAAATCAAAAAGTCTAGATATAAGTACAAAATAAACCTGTAAAACTATAATTCTATTAGGGAAAAATTGAAAGCATATAAAATTATGAAGTGAGCACAAAATTATAAGTAAGAAAATTAGAGAATTATACTTTATCTTTTTCAATTTTCCACTTGTAATACTTGTAATTAAATTACTGCGGTAACCAAGTTATTGATTTTAACTTCATAAGAAGATTTTAATAAAAATAAGAAAATTTTATTAGAAATTCATATGCATAATATATGAGAGGGCTATTCAATTGGAATGGTAGCCTTCTTTTGAAGCTTTGTCTTTTATTTTGTTTTTATTTTTTTTTTACATAAGGTTAAAACTCGAATAATTTTTGTCTTTTGTGTTTTTTATACAACAGTAATAGCCCATGTTTCTTCTCTATTAATAGGCTAACCCACTGTTAATAAACCAACTCAAAAAAGTAGGATTGGGTTGAAATTTGAGCTAGGCTCAATGTTGAAAAGTATGAATCTAATTTAAATTCATATTTTCATACTAGTAAGTATGCACGTGGTTTGCATGTAACAATTCTAGATGATGATAATTATAATAATAATAATATATCCAAAATTTTTATAAACTTTATGTATTTTTTTTATTTTTTGTTTTTTATTATTAATCATATACAAATTGCAAAATCCAAATCTGATTGTATACACACCTCATCCAAATATGTGATAAACAAATCAAATTGTGAAATTTCAAGTATCTTTGATAGGTTTACCTGCTTGGCTAGACTCCTCTTTTTGTAGTGCTTTTTCTTTTTGGTGTATCTTTTTCTTTTATTCATTTATAAAAAATAATTAAGATTTAAATAGATGGAATTGAATGAGGTGAAAAGTAGTAGTTTAATTTACAATTTAAACCTCACAATTAAATAGGGACTAAATTTAAAAATGAGTATTTTAATCATTGTATTAAAAACCATACTAGAATGAACGATCGAACCGTTTGGCCCGAGAACCGGTTAGGTCACTAGTTCCATTTTGGCCATAGACCGCTATTTTACAAAAAAAAAATGTTGAAATGGTTAGAGAATCGTTGACTCGATCGATTTAACCATTAAAATGTTTTACCCGATTAATGGTTCTCAGGTTGCTTCCAAACTAATTCCAAATTTGTAATTTATTTTAAAATAGAAATTAAAAAAATTGAAAAAAGAAACTTTCATATCCATAATCTTGTTCGATTATTCCCAATGGTCAAAATTAGTTAGGGTTTTTAGTTTTTTGATTTTGATTTAAATTTTTCATTTCTTTAATTCTTTGTAAGTTATAACAATAAAAAAGTTGCAACTCCAATGAAGAAATTAAAAAAATGATGCAAAAGATGAGAGATTAAACACCAATCTTATATTAAAATCAGAGATACGCCAATGAAGTAAATGATTTGGGATTTGAGAGAGATTTAGAGAGATGAGAGAGATGTAAGAAGAGGGCAAACGGTGTTGTAGCAGTGGTGGTGATGAACATAGAGATAGTCGTTGGTTACGGTTCTTTCTTTTTCTTCTTCTTCTTCTCAGGGCAAATGGTTTTGCAACAACAATCGGTGAACATGGTGACAACCACCTCTAACGGTGTTTCCTTCTCTTCTCTTCTCTTCTTCTTCTTCTTCTTCTTCTTCTTCTTCTTCTTTTCTTTCTTTTTTCTCAATTTTCAGCTTTAATTATCCGCCTCTTTCTCAAAGTCTCACACTCCCCTTTCATAATAATGTATATATATGGTGGACTTTGACCTGTTCAAACTGAAAGGTTGAACTGTTGGTCTAGAAACCGAAAGCCAAAGTGGTTCCATTTTTTGGTCAGTTTTTAAAACCTTAATTTTTGTCAAAAGAAAGTTCAACAATCTTATTCAAATTTAATAGAAGTGTAAATATAGAATTATAGATGTGTTCAATTTTTTTCTATAATTTTTTTTTGTATTTTTGTGTAAAAATAATTCTGATATGTCACACTTACTTTTTGTTTAATATGATAAATGCATGATATTATACATGTGCTTGAATGCTTTTTTTTTGCAAAATTTATGTATTATTTATTTATGACATTAAAGGTTAACACATTTAACCCAAAAGTTGAACTATTTACTATTAGTTTTTATATTTCATTTTTGGTCAATTTTAAATTATGTATTTAATTTTCATTTTCAGTAAAAATAATTCTTGTTTATTACATTTATTTTTTAATTTGATTAATAAAAATATCATAACTATGTTTATTATTTTTGTAATTTTCTATATTTATTTCTATTTTAAAATTTTTAATATCTAACTATGACTTCATAGCTTGATCAATTTGACTCAGATTGTTGAATTGCTTAGCCATCATTTGGATAAAGAATGATTTTGTTTTTGAGTTAGTTTTAAAATTATGGGTTTATATTGTTAAAATATTGGCACAGATCTAATTATATAGTAGCATTTATTAGTGAAAAATAATTTAAAAATATAGGATTTAATAAGAGAAAGTGAGATTTAATATATTAAGTATAAAACTTAATGAGAGGGGATTAAATGAGTTGGAAAGTAATAGTTGAAGTTGTATTTTTAAACCTTACAATTAGAGATGGATTAAATATACAAATATGGCCATTATAATAGCCATTAAAGCTATAATAAAATAACTTTTATATCCTTTCTCAAACAAGTAATAAAGGCTAATTTTAGTCCAAAAAAAAGTTTCACACCGCATTCGATGGCTTATTCGTGTTATGGGGCCATATTGTAAGGTATATATAAGTGGTTTTGAAAGTTTAGGGTACATTTAAGTAATTTCCTAAATATACGAGGTACATGTAAGTAATTAACTCTAATAATTGTTGTGTATGAATTTATTAGTGATATTTAATGATGAAAAATAAAAGTATAAATATTGGATTCAATGAGAGAATGTGATTTATCTAATGACTTAAATGTAAAACTTAATGAGAAGTACTTAAATGTATTTAATAGTATTATTTTAATTACAATTTTTGCCCTTTCAATGAAGATGAACCAAATTTAATAGGAGGATTAATTCAGTAAAAAGAATTCCAGAAGCCCACTACCTCATTTGCACTTTTATAAGTAGTATAGATATGGATGTATGTATATGTATTATATATTTATCTATGTATTTATGTGGATATAAGGATGCATATGTATATAGAGGCTTTTCTTATTCTTTTTATGTTTTAAAACTTTTTAATGATATATATTAGTATCCCTCCCATACATCTTTAAATAGAATAAATTTCAATACCAACTCCCATCAATAATTCAAATGTGATAATTTAATCAGACCTAAGGCATCGAGTATTTCGATATAAATGGCACCTCAGCCTTACACATGGTTTTCAAAATTGGATCGAAAAAACAGGGAATTGGTTAGGTAACTGATTTTGTTACCCCATAATCATTGTTTTGCCAAAAACCATTGATTTGGTCAGCAAATCATTGACCTGGGCGATCAAATCGTTCAAACCGTTTGAACTGTCCAATGATTTTAGCCATTTTTTATTTTTTTAATTTTTTGTCAAAATGGACCATCCATTCAATTCGGAAAGGTCAGACAGTTCAACCTGGGAACCGGATCCTTGACCAGTTCGTTGTCCAATTTAGTTTTAAAAACCTTGATCTTACATGCTCATATAAGACTGATGTGACCTGTGGCATTCAATTGAAAAAAAAATAAAAATAAAAAATCAGC